GTCTTATATCAACTGTACAAGAAAAGCACCACTCTGAAGTGACTGATTAATAATACACAATATTATAGCCCAAATATACAAAAAAAGAAGACAAATATTATAAAAATAATTTAAAGTTAAAATTCCAGAAGCAGATGTAATTTAGATCTCAGAACCAACTATGTGTGTTGTGCAATAATTTGCTATATGCCAAGAGAGAACATTTGTTTTTAATTCTGCTGTGAAATTTAGTGTAAAAGTAGAGTCAACAAAGAAGGGCATTTTTTTCCCTGCTCTTCATTAATTAAGTGAAAACATTTTTATTTTGCCACTTGGAGGTGTAAAATTAGCAAGCAACATGAGTTCTTTTTAATATGACCTCTAATTTTCTGTATAAATTTTGGGAAATACAGCCAGGTAAAAAGAACTAACAAACAAAAAATAAAAAACAAACAAACAAATAAAACACTAGTAATTCTAAAAACATTTTCATGTTTTTTCCTTCTGATACTACCTCCTTCTTTGTGGGTAAATGCGTGTGTGTATATTCTAGAGAGAGAGAGTAAAACAGTTTGCCCCTTTGTTTCTAATGGAGAAGCCTGACAAAATATCTAACAGAAGGGAACAGATTCCTCAGCAGCAATAAAAGTTGTATCAAGGGATCACAGGGAAATAATAATTGTGTTTAGTGCATAAGCATGAATTATTCCATCAATCCTCATAACAGCACTGCAAGTGGATACCATTATTACTCTCACACAACAAATAAGGAGTAACTGAGACACACATACAGATGATATAATTTGCCCAAGGTCATACAGGTAAGATTAGAAAACTGAAGTAGAGGGATCATTTAAGATAATGCATCTCAGAATAGAAAGAGAGTCAAGATTAGAATTCAAGTCTCTTGACTCTCACTCCATTCAGATCAATTTCCTCTGCCTTATCTCAGTGACTCTGGACAAAGTTCAGAAAATGGTTGTGGCCAAAATTCTGAATACCTCAGGTAATTCCTCTGTCATTCACACTGATAAGAGAGATTCATGAGGCCAAGCAGATAGTGGACACCAAACTAGCGCTTGTGGGGTCTAAATGTCAGGAAGTGCTTTCTGTCCACAGAGACTGGTCCTGAGGCCCCTCCTTCAACCAAACACCTGGGCACTCCAAGTAGAGGTCCTGGAGGTGGAAAGTGAATGGCTCCTGAAAGAAGCCAGAGAGAGACTCAAGGCCCTGACTGAGTGTTCACCAATTCATTCAACAAATATTTATGAAGGGTCTACGGTGGGCCGGGTATATAGTGGAAACCACACAAAGTTCCCAGTCCTCATGAAGCTCCCTCATGAAGTAGGGAGACACAGACAATAAACAATGAAACACTGATATGCTGTTGCTACTATGAAGAAAATAACTCCACATAAAGGGAGTAAAGAGGGACAGGGGAAGGTGTATCTTAGATACTGTGGCCTGGGAAGCCTTTCTGATAATGTGACATTTGAGTAATGAAGTGAGGGAGGAGCGTTTCAGGGGAGGGCTGATGAGGAGGGGAAGCCTGGGAGGGAATGAGGCCCAAGAGGTTGCCAGAGGCCAGGCCATGTGGGGCCACCGGGTCCTGGGAAGAAGTTCTGGACAGTCAGAGGGAGCCACTGTCACTGTCACTGGGATGACTTCATCCATAATGACAAGAGATTGTACATCAACTTTCTTGAGATTTTTCATTTTTTAATGAGTAATCTGGTGTAGGATAGCATTCATATTTCAAACAATTTTCAAAAGATTGTTCAGACTCCGGTATAACTTTTCTTTCTCTCTCACCTCCACCCACACTACCTCCCTCCAACCTCCTCTCTGTCTCTATCCCTCTCTCAATCCCTATCTCCATCTCTCTCTCTCTCTTATCCTTAAGGAACATGGTTTCCTGAAAGCCACTCCTCCCTGTCTCCACAGTAAAGATACTTTCAGAGAATAATCAGGAGAGCTCATCGTGTCATAGAACTTGCAAAGCATAAGCCATGATTTTGAAACATATTTTTAACAGTGGTTTGACAAATAAAACCACTTGGATTTCAAACCATACTGTAAAGCTACAGTAATCAAAAGAGCATAGACTGGCACAAAAACAGACACACAGATCAATGGAACAGAACTGAGAGTAACACATATATGGACAATTGATTTATGACAAAGGAGGAAAGAACACACAATGAGAAAGTCTTTTCAGTAAATGATGTTGGGAAAACTGGACAGCCACATGCAAAAGAATGAAACTAGGCCACTATCTTATACCACACACAAATATTAACTCAAGTCAGACTAAAGAGTTTGTTAAGACCTGAAACCATAAAACTCCTAAAAGAAAACACAGATGGTAACCTCATTGTTATCAGTCTTAGTCATGTTTTTGTGTATCTGACTCTAAAGGCCAGGCAAACAAAAGCAAAAATTACAAATGGGACTATATCAAACTAAAAAGCTTCTGTACAGTGAAGGAAACCATCATAAAAATGAAGAATGGGAGAAGATACTTGCAGATCATATATCCCATAAGGAGTTAATATTCAAAATATATAAAGAACCCATTTGACTCAACAACAGAAAAACCCAAACAACTTGATTAAAAAATGGGCAGAGGATATGAATAGATATTTTTCTAATGAAGACATACAGATGTGAATAGGCACACGAAAAGACGTTCAACATTACTAATTATTCGGGAAACGCATATCAAATCCACAATAGACACATCACCTCACACTTGTTAACAATGGCTATTATTGAAAAGACAAAGAATAAAAAATGTTGGACAGAACGTTACTGGGGCTGTACATTGGTGCAGCCACTATAAAAAACAGTATGGAGATTCCTTAAAAAGTTAATAATAGAACTACCATATGACCCAGCTATTCTACTTCTGGGTATTTATTTTAAGAACATGAAAGTGCTAGTTGGAAAAAATACATGCAACCTTATGTTCACTGCAGCATTATTTACAACAGCCGAGATAAGCAAACAACCTAAATGTCCATCAGTGGATGACTGGATAAAGAAGATATGAAATATACACAGAGCGGAATACTACTCAGCCATAAAAAGGAATGGAATGCTGCCATTTTCAACAATACTGATGGACCTTGAAGGTATTATGCCAAGTAAAATAAGTTAGATAGAGAAAGACAAATACCATATGCTTTCACTCATATGTGAAATTTAAAAAAACAAAACAAACAAAATAAAACAAAGAAAACCTCATAGATACAGAGATCAGATTAGTGATTACCAGAGGAAAAGGGCATTGCAGGGAGTGAAGTGCATGAAGAGGGGTCAACTGTATGGTGACCAATAGTAAATAGACTTGTGGTGGTGATCACTTTGTAGTGTATACAGATATTGCATCATAATGCTGTACACCTGAAAGTTATTTTTTTAAAAAGAAAAAATACATATTTTAATAGTGGTTTGACAAATAAAATCAATTTGGAGGCCAGTGACAATAAACTGAATATAAAAAGGATAAAATATTATTGATCCAGAGTTAAGTACTGACAAGAGACTTTCCCCAAAAGATTGATTTGGTGTCTAATTCTTACTAGGACTATACTAACTCAAATATTGTAGGGTATCATTTATATTTTTGTTTCCTTCTTCTCATTTTGAAAATAGTTTGAGGGTCACAGGACAAGACTTATCATCACAGTGATGGTATATCTCAAATTATATGAGGTGGTGTTGATTTTCATTATTCTGTCCCATACTTTTTGGGAACAAGTTATCAAATTTTAGGCTCAAGAAAGCCACTATACCTGTAGTTGAAATTTGTTTTATGGTTCTAATCCAGTTCAAACACTTTGAGAAACTGAGCCCAATTAAACTTTTATTAGACTATTCTAATAAAAAAGAATGAACTGCAAGTTAAACATGGTGGAAATGACTTCTCTTGAAGTCACCTTTAAATGCTTACTTTAAAAGGATGAAAGCACTGATGGGTTTTCTGTATGCCACTTCCTCTATAAAGTCTTTCCTCTCTGTTCTGCTGCCCTTTGCAAAACACTCGCCCTCCCGATCTTGGCCCCGGGTGTCTATTATAGCAGCTCAGCACCATCAGTGAGCACGTATGTCTGGCCATCTGTCTCTCTGTCCCCAGTGGCCAGCCGCCTGCAGGATCCTTTCCTTTGTCTCTGAGCTCCCCACTCCTAACACAGTGTCTAACATGGTATCAACAGTAGTCAGTGTTTATTCACTAGAAAGAATGAATAAAGTGAGATTTATTTGGTGCAAAAATGGGGATTTAAGATTCTTCCTTTAGGTAGGTTTATTTGCATTTAAATAGAAGTTTGGGACATCAGTGAAGCTTTTATTAGTACAGACTGGTACTTTTGAAATAAATTTTGTGCTTGTGGGCTTGATAACACAATGTGTTTGGTTTTAAGCTATATGTAAACTATATTTAGTATTAAATTATTTAATTATATTAAAAGAAATCTCATCAGATAATAGTTTCCAAATATAGAACAAAATCCCAAGAATGAAAGGTGAAGGCCTACGCTCTATTTTACCCGTGACTTAAGAGCTTGAGGGTCAATTACAGCACAGCCCCCGGCTTCACTGACTGTTTCAGCCTAAGGATGGGATTATTCCCAAACAGAAGCAGTAAACAGAGCAAGAGGAATCTGGGGACTCCTTAAGAGCAGGAGTGGAGGCTACCCTGGCCAGTGCCCTAGGTAATTTCCCGTTTGGGAAAACGTACATCAAACTAGAGCATCCATTTTCTTAAGGTACCACTTGCCTGCACAGATGGATTTCCATAGCTCAGTATCTTAAATTGTGTGATTACACGCTCAGGAGCCAAGTCAAATATCTCTCCAGTTTTTCCCTTTGTGGATTTAATGCAGCTTATGCATAATCTTTGCTGTATTAATATTCACTGATTATGTGCTGCAAAATGATATGAATAAAGGTGCTGTGTTCATTCAGTTAAAGCAGACACGGCTCCTGCCCTCAAAGGCCTTTCAGTATGGTGGGGGACACAGATGATAACCTGACAATATCACAAGTACACGATTATAAACAGATGAGTACTCGAAGGAAAAGTACAGAAAACATGAAAATGTGCAGCACAGTCATGATTGAGTTGAGGCTGGGGGTCAGAAAAGATGTCTTTGAGGAAGAACAATTTAAACTGAAGTTTGAAGGAAGAGGAGAACAAACAAAACAAGATGTGTGTGTGTATGTATGTATGTGTGTGTGTGTGTGTGTGTGTGTGTGTGTGTGTCGTCCCCATGCACACGCCACCCCAGGGAGAAGTCAGAAGTATCTGCACGTGCAATGGCCCCGGGGTGGAAGACAGGATGGAACGTTTAAGAAATGAAAGGTCACTGTTGTTGAAGTCAAGGGAGCAAAGGGGAGAGGAATGTGAAATGTGGCTGAAAACACAGAAAAGGGTGACAGCAGCAGCCACTTGTAGGCCACATGCAGGATTTTGGTGTTTTCCCAGGAAAAACAGGAAGTCAGAAGTCACTGAGGAGTTTTAAGAAGAAGAGTGAAATGGTAAGAACTGTATTTTTAAGAAGGAATATTCTGGCTGCCCAGAAAAAGATTTAGAGGGGAGCAAAACTCCTATTATATTCCATTTTAGCAGGAGGGAAAGGTGACAGAGGTGTGGACAAGAGGTGGTAGGAAGTGGTCTAATTCAAGACAGGCTTTGAGAACAGAGTCAACAGGACTTCCAAATGGGGTGGATTTGGGGGATGAGAAAATGAATAGAATCACAGGCAACTCCTAAGTTTCTGGCCTGGGCAACCGTAGGGTTTGGAGAGACACTGATGGGGATACAGTGGCAGAGACCCGGTCTGGAGAAAGATGGAGAAGAATTTAGTTTGGGGCATGCTGAGTTCAGGGCCATCTGTCAGGTAGGCAGAGTGATCCATGAGTGTGGCATTCAGGGAAGAATAAATATGGACCAGTAAATTAAATATAAGTCATTAGCACTGGGATGGCAACTGAGGTGTGGGTATTGATGAGATCATCTAGAAAAAAAGTATAAAGGAAAAGAGAAGAGGAGGTCCCAGGACAATGCTGTGAGGAATGCCGACATGAAAGTGGATAATCTGGCCCAAGAAGCCAAGGAGCAGTCTGGAGATGGGAAGAAGACAAGAGAAGTGTCAGTGAGAGGGTGGTGAATAATGCTGAATGCCACTGAGAGGTCGAGAAAGACGAGGGCTGGCACAGGTCCATTATATTGAGCTACACTGAGGTCCTTCAATCACCAGTGCAACTGGGCAAAAGCCCGACTGGAGCATGTCGGGAGTGAGTGAGAGGGAAGGGAACGGAGACCATGAGTGAAGGCAATTTCTTGGAGTGGTTTAAAGGAGAGGAAAAGCGAGCAGTAGGGAGAGAGGGCAGCTGGGTCACAGGAGAGCATTTTGATTTTTAATATTGGAAACACTTGAGCCCATTCAAATATTAATAAGAAGAGTCCAGTAAAAAGAGAGAAGTTGTAGATAAAGAAAAAGTTGAAGGGAGGTTGAGGTTCTTGAGATGGCAGAAAGGACTGGGAGTGAGGTCCGTTCCAGAGAAGGGATACCTTCTCTACTGTAGCAGGAAGGAGGTGGGGGTGCAGATGCAGGTTGGTGTGTAGCAGAGCGGGAATTTGAGGAGGTTCTCCTCAATTTGTATATGTTATAATTACCTGTAAAAATAAATGTCTGTGTGCTCTGAGGTGCTTGTTGTCAAAGATAAGCTGCTGTTATGAAAGTAACCACAGTGAAATTTTACCTAAAGAAAAATTCCTGGCTGTACAGTTTTGTTTTATTCTGCTTTGGTTGTTTAATGACTGGTCTTTTAATTTTGTATTATATTTGTCATACAGATTTTTCCAATTTTCAAAAAGTCAGGTTAGTTGAAGTTAAATTTATAGATAGTAAAATTTAAAATTACCCCTTCTAGATGGTATTATGATTTCCAACAAATGTGTATACTTTTGCAACGACCACTAAAATCAAGATATAGGATATTTCAATTACCCTAAACACCTCCCTCTAGTTCCTTTGCAATCAGTTTCCTCCCCAGCCAGCAACCTTGGCAACCACTAACTGATTTCTTCTCCTATACTTTTGCCTTTTACAAAATGTGATATAAATGAGATCACTAGCATGTACCTTTCTGTGTCTAGCTTCTGCTACTTAGCATAGTGCCAAAATGGTCAATGAATTAAGACAGTTTTATTATTTCCTTGCCAGTTCTTCATGTGTTTTATTTATATTTCTTGCCTCATTGCACTGACTAGATCCTTTAATATGATGTTGAATAGAAGTAGTGAGAAAGGATATACTTGCCTTGTTTCCAATTTTAGGAAGAAAGAATTCTTTGTTTCATTGTTAATTATTATATTAGCTATTTAGTTTTTTTTTGTAGATACACTTTATCAGTGTATGGAAGTTCCCTACTATTCCCGTTGTACTCAGAGTTCTGACCATGAGTAAGTGGATTCAAATGCTTTGTCTGCATTTATTGAGATAATCAAATATTTTTTTCTCTAGTTTGTTAATATGGTGAATTACATTGATTGATTGATTCTTTAAAATGTTAAACCAGCCTTGCACTCCTGGGGTAATTACCCTTTTGATCATGATTTATTACCTTTTTAATATTTTATGACACTTGATTTGCCAATGTTTAATTAAATATTTTTATTCATATGGGATGTTGGTCCATAACTTTCTTTTTTTCTAATATATTTGTCTGATTTTGACATTAGAGCAATCCTGGTCTTGTAAAATGAGTTGGAAACTGTCCCCTTCTTCTGTGTTTCCTGGGAAAGTCTGTGTAGAATTGGCACTCTTTGCTCCTTAAACTTCTGGCAGAATTTGTAGTGATGCTATCTGGGCCTGTAGAATTCTTTGTTGGAAGGTTTTTCCAATGAATTCATTTTCTTATATAGATATAAGGACAACTCAGGTTCTCTGTGTCTCTTGAGTGAGCTTTGGTAGTCAGTGTCTTTTAATACTTTGTCAGATTTATCTAAGCAAATATATTGTCGTAAGTTGTTCATATCATTCCCTTGTTATCCTATGAATGTCTCATCTTTCTACACTGTTTACTATTAATACCCTGAATCATAAAGGAAGGGACATTTTTTCCCCATTGGAAAATACCCAATGAATGGAATATTTAATTATATGTAAATAGATATAAATGGAAGGAATAGGGGTGACGTGGCTAAGTAGAAAGATAAATTCAGTTGGCAAGCTGCCTACAGTAAGTTGGAATGTCAGGGGATGTGGTCCTGTGGATCATCACCTACCTCAAATCAGATCAGAGAATTTCTGGGCTAACTTTTGGTCTTGACTTCAGCCTTGTATCAACTCAGTACCAGCCACTCCAAAATTTAAATCTTCATCCTCAGCCTTCCTCTAATGTTCCAGAATTCAATGAGTACATCATATATTCCTTCATCATGTTAGGATCCGAACATTTCTTATCCTCAACCAACTTCTTTTCCCAACTTTTCCATGTGCTGATAATCTGGTTTAAGTCTTCAGCTTTCATTATCCTCCCTTCTTTATCTCTTTTGTATTTGTAGTCATCACTTCTGTTGATTCCTCTTCAACAAAGCCTCTCACATTTGTCTCTTCTTCTATTTTCATTGTCATTACTTGAGTCTTTTCCCTAAATTTCACTCCAAACCTGATACAACATTTTCCTGATTTCTCATTCCTGCTAATTTATTCACTGCTTGCAGAGTGACAGCAAGAAAAAAGTTTTCCCCATGTAAGTTCTTTCACGGTATTAAAATAACAACTCTTGTTTTATTTTTCTCTTTGCACTTTTTACTCTCTGAAATGCTCTGTATTTTAGTTGTTTATACAGTGCATTATCTCCATCCCCACTAAAGTGTAAGCTCCATGAGGGCAAGGACTTTGTTTATTCCTGAATCTCTAGCACCTAGAACAGTGCCTAACATAAAGAAAGAGCACAGTGAACATTACTGAATGAATGAATAAACTGCAATACTCTCAAATCACAATGTTTCCTAGTCACAATTAAATAAAATAGTGGTTCCTCTGAATGTGGTATTCACAGCTAAACATGAGGTCACCATTCATCTATCTAATCCTGTTCTTCTGTTCTTCCATGAGAACGCTAGGCTTCTGCTAGGCTAATTTTAATCCAGGTCCTTGCTAGCTGGTGCTTCGTATATGCAAGACCCCATTCTGGTCTCATGATTTCTCTCCCTTCTCCTCACACTGTGCTCATTCCCTGTAGGCACCTTTGTTGTGTAGTCTCCTTCAACTTAGAATGGTACCTTCTTCCTCTTGACATCTTTTGAGGTAACTTATTTATCTTGTGAAATGGGTGATATCTACAATGACTTCCCCCATTTTTGCATTCTTACATATTGATTTAGTTTTTCATTATTATAGATTATGAGTAAATAATGTATTAAACCATATGTAATAAACTGATATTAGATTTTAAAATATGGAGCTGAAAGTGTGCATAGATAGCATTTACACATAAGAGAGCCATTAAAAAACTAGTATGAGTATAATTAAAAGCATAATTTTTTATAATTCTCAGTGTCCATTTGTTCTTTCCACTAATACACTCTTATTCTCTGTTTTATATATATATATGTGTGTGTGTCTGTGTCTGTATGTATAAAAGTGTGCATGGGTGCATATGTATTATTTCCCCAATAAGACTATAAGTCTTTGGAATTATTTTCTGTATCCTATATTCATGAATCCCCAAAAGCACTTATTAAAATGGTTAGCATCTAGTAGGCAGTCAAAAAATTCAGGTTGAAGGATTAACTGATTTGCAAAAATTAACTAAAAGAAATAAGTCAGAGAAAGGCAAATATTGTATGAACTCACTTGTATGTGCAAAATAAAAAAGTTGTTGAACTCAGAGAGTAGATTGATGGTTGCCAGGGGCTGGAGGGTAGCGGAAATAGGAAGATGTTGGTAAAAGGGTACAAACTTCCAGCCATAAGATCAATAAATTCTGAGGATCTAATGTACAGCATGGTAACAATAATTAACAATACAATATCATCTACTTGAAAATTGTGTACAGAGTAGATCTTAAATGTTGTCACCACACACACAAACAGAAAGGTAACTATGTGAGGTGATGGAGGTGTTCTCTTACCTTACTGCAGTAATCATTTCACAATATATACGTATATTAAATCATCACATTGTGCTCTTTAAACTTAAACAGTGCTATATGTCAATTATATCTCAATAAAGCTGGAGAAAAAAATTAAAAAGAAAAACAAAGGATCGAGATGTTTGGAAATTTACTTTGGGCAAACTTGAGCCCATGAGATCCAATTCAGTTCCATCTCAGAAAGAAAATGTTGCTGTGCAGAAAATATTCTACTCATTTAGACTTGGGTCAGGAAATCATGCTCCCATCCTAGCCAGAGGCATACAGGCTTTTTTTTTTTTTTAAACCAGAGGGAAAAAGAGGTATGTGTTTACAGAATCAATCAGAATCAAATCTTCACCCAAGAATTTCTGTATAAACATTAACTTGGCTATACAGTCTTTACCCAGCTGTCTCTTTTCAAATTTACACAGGCAAAAAAAAAAAAAGATGTAAACTAAAAATATCCCAATAACTGGAGGCTGACATCTGAAATCCTCTTCAGTCGAAGCATACAAGTCAATGCAACAAATATTTACATTAAGAACTGAAATTCTGGGAAACAGTTCAAAAAATTTGATAGGGCTAGGTATTAACAGACATCTCTGAACTGTCCAATGCATACTGCATAGAATATATTATCTATTAAATATCTGCTCTCTGACATCCTTCACAGAATCCCTGATAGAAATGTCCTCATGCCATGACAGTCAGCATAAGCCCAGGAGTCAGGGACAGAGAAGGAGACCAGGCTAGAACACTCTTGCCACTTTGTCCTGCTGAGCTGTGGAACCCTGTCTCTCTCCTACACCACTATTCCCCTCCCACCCTCACTACCCAGGAGTCTGGGCGCAATGCGAGGACTGAAGCTGATTCACATTTCTAAGTAAATGTCCAGGGATGCCAGAAGACAAAGAAGCATGAAATAATATTAAACAGCAGAGCCATATTAGGCACAAATTTTAACTTACCTCTTCTACTGTAAGATGCTAAAGGACTCTTAAACCTGATGAATTTGAATACTGTACCAGTATTCAATCTAGCAAATTATGGCAAAATACAACTGCAACAACAATATAACAAAAACAATAACAAAAGAACCCCCAAGCTATCGGAATAATCTCCACTGTCAGCATGAAGAAATACCAGTTACTGGGTTGTTGTGAAACTCTACGCTTTGCTTTGGCAGGATGGATGCTGTTTGCGACACATGTTCTCCTCAGCTGCTGACCAGAAATCATTAATGAGATGTAATGCTACTAGTACACTTACCTTGACAGCAGAGAAGCAATTTCATTGCGAATTGTTGAAGTTTACTTATTAGTAAAACATGAACAAAGTTTACAAGATTCCTGAGCTCAAAATTAATCATTATTCTCTCTGCAGTCTCATGTTTTATTCATATCTCCTCATAATACTTATATATTGCATCATAATTACTTGTGCCCTGTGCCTGTCACTGCCACTAAATTGTGAACCCACTGAGAGCTGGATCTAGGTTTTTGTTCATCTGTGTTCCTTTCAGGACATAGGGTAGAGTTTTATGAATCCTAGATGAATAATAAATGTTAAATGAATGAATGAACCAACTGCCCAGAAAACCGAATGGCAATCCTACATACTGTCTATGCAGAATCTGTTCCGACTGACATTTACATATTTGTTATCTATGGATCAAATGTTATCTATGAAACTAATCCAAGATCTAACAGCCCGTCAGTGTTTTAAATCTATTGTCACCATTATATTTCTCTCCATTCTACCTCCAAACTCCTATGAATGGCCAATTTGTATGTCAATAAATCTAAACAGAAACAGATATTTATGTAATAAATGGCAAGTTAGTAAAATAATATAATATCAAATATCATAAAGAAGACATAACAAAATTTACTTATTACTGTTTTTATACTTTAACGCATTTTTCTCTTTGTGAAAGTACAGCCTGTGGTGATCTCTTTAAGAGAGGCTGTAGGGTGGTGAACTTTCCATCTGAAAATCTGTAAGTCTGAAAAATGCCTTTGTTTCACCTTCACCTTTGGATATTAATGTGGCTACATACAGAAATCTCCATTCACAGTCCTTTTTTTTTTTTTAGCAGTAGAAGCTCTTGTTTCCAGAGTTGTTGATAATAAGTCTTCTCAAAATCAGAGTCTTGGTTGGTAATACTTCTATTCTCTGATGACTTTTAGGATTATTTCCTGTATTTGGAGGTTCCAAAATTTTTATACAATATTATACTACTTATTACATGGTTACCCTTTCATTCTGAAGTCTTATGTCTTTTTTTTTAAGGTCTAAGAGGTTCTTAGGTATTATTTCTTTTAACTATTGGCTCCCCCACATTATCGCTATTTCTCCTCCATAATCTCCTTTTTGTTAGATATTGGTAAATCTCTAGGATTCTTTTCATTAAACTTTCTATCTCTCTCTCCTTTTATCTTATATTCTGGAAGAATTTCTTAGTCTTGATATTCCTAGCTCACTAATTTGCCCCTCTGTTTTCATTCTACTTGGCCATCATTAAGTTCTTAATGGCAGCATGTACACTGTCTCACTTTCAAGACCTCCTCTTGATCATGTTGTTGTTTCTTGGATGGAGTACCACATTTTATATCTCTCAAGCTAGTAATCAGTCTTCTTTCTTAGTTCTGAAGCTCTCCAAGCTATGAAAACTTCTTGTTCTTGTCTTTCTTGATGTTGGCTGTCCTCATATTTCTAGTCATTCCCAATTGTGAGCTCACATTTCCTACACTCTCAGCTCTCAACTTGGGCAGCCAGTCTTGCATGAGGGACTGAAGCAGCTGTGGGTGCCTGTGCTCCTTTGTGTTTTCAGTGAGAACAGGAGATGCAGAACAGGAGACAGCAGCTGGTCTCCTGAGCTTATATGGTCCCTCTTTGTCCTGGACATCATCAGCTACCTGGAGCCCTTTCCAATTTCTCTGTCCTAAACACTGACCTAAACACTGGGGGGAGAAGGGAAGGATGCACAGGTTCACAGGAACAAACTGTCCCCACTACCACAGCGTCATCACACCCTCAGTGGCTCTTCTCAGCCCTCTCCTATTCCAAGGCGTCACCATTTCTAGACAGGGGGCCTTCTTGGTGCTGCACATGACTTGGTCTATCATTTTCCCCTGCCTAACTCAACTCCACCATTCAGTCTCCCAGGAATTCCTTGAAGCCTCTAGTCCCTTGGGAAGTTTACTTCTTATTCTTGGGTATGGATAGAGATCAGAATGTTTCTTTGTATCAGTTCTATAGTCTCCCAGATTTGGAAGGAAACTGCAGCATTTACTTACTCAGTCTGACAGCCTGAATCACCACATTTAGAATCTTATCCTTTAACTGAGCCTTCTAAGCAACACACAGAGTATACAGGAATTAGAGAAACACTGATAAGTACCAGTGATATGTTGGTTATTTTCCTAAGTTTGCTATTAGGTCCAGTTCCCACTTTTCCCTTGTTTGACTCTGCATCACAGGAAACTACACTCCCTGACTCTGTTGACAAATGGCTTCTGGGTAAGTTCAGCCAGTGGGAGGCGCTACTGGGGACTGGTAGAGGGGCTGTGGGAGAAGCCAGCACTCCCTACCGGCATGATGCCTCCAGAGCACATCCGGCTCCTCAGAGGCCCTGGCTTCTGTCAGGGAGCCCTCATCATAAGTCAGCTCCTGCCGCCAGCACCACACTCCGGCTTTGTAACACAGCCTTCTACCAGAGTTCCTCCAGTTTGAGGGGTGCCAGAGCGCTGCTATTCCTGGCTTCTGGGGTGCTGCAGCATTCCCACAATACCATCTCCTGTACAATAAATTCCTTAAAGTTCCTTTTGTTGAGAGGTCTAGAATGGTTTTGTTTTCCTGGCTGGATCCTGATTTGAAGATTAAAATTCTGAAGAGACATCTTCAAAGATAATAATGGGTAATTCCTTTCTTTGAGGGGAAAGGGCACCACAGGGAATTTTAACCGTGGGCTTCTCAATATCTAAGATATCCCACGTTATTCCAAGGGGTGACATGAAATTATTTGACATGTAAATTCTGGCAATATATTTCACTTTAATCGCGTATACGCCACAAAGCAGTTCTGTAAGGAAAGCCTGAGGGGCCTATCATATTGTTAAACACAGCGTTCTAGAATTAGGAAATGCTATCCTAGAGGAGGAAGGCTTTGAATATAACAGAAACCTTGCTTAAGGCTTCTCAAGCTTTAGACCCACCTCCAGGGGCAGCCATGAGCTAGTTTAAAGAAAATACTTTTTATCATCTCTATTAGTTACCATTTTCTCTGTTGAGAGAGGGTCAGGTCACATGACAGTAAACCTTTAGAAAAATCTTGTGTAGCTCTATTTCTTATTTGGAAATAGAGAATACCTCTGCCTTCTAAGCCTATTCTGTTGTTACCACTCCACAAATGCTTAACAAGTAGCACAGAAACAAGAGAGCCCATCACTGTGACTCACGACCAGAGAGAACACGAGGTCCAGGCTGAGCCACCGGTATGCCATGAGGCTGCATATCTGAAGGCTCTGAAAGATGCCGCAGTTGTATAAAGCTCTGAATACCTGCTTTCATTCCCATTTTGGGTGTCTGAAATGCAATATATGGGCCACCTATTTATGAAAGGAGAGGGCTTACTTTGGCATGGGATAAATTGGTGCCTGCAGCAAGATGCTGTTTAATACAAAGGACGTTTCTTGAATTCCTTTCAGATCTGAGATCCACAGCTTAAGAGTGTTCGGTGTATATGTTTTAAAATTGCACGACCATTATACAATCCCTTTTCTTCAGCCGGCATGAGAAGGATATTCCCAACCTCTCTACGCTCTGTTCTTTGCTTCCTCAAAGCTGAGGCGGCAAAAACACTGCCAGCCTTATCCAGCTTTTCATGGAAAGCCGCCACTCTTAACTGGCGCCTAAATGCAATTTCAGACCGTCCCAGGAGACCTTCGTGCTTTGAGGTGAATTCATAACATGAGGGCCAACAAAGAAGTTAACACAAACTTGCTCTGTTGAAAAGGAAAAGAGAAAAAGTCTGCAGGCTTACTGAAGGAGCTCGGCTTCTGTGAGCGCCTCTGTCCTCTGCTCCCCTGTAACAAGGGCCAGTTCATCCTTCAGCTCCTGGATTTCCTTTTGTAGGCGCAGAATCATCTACAAATGGCAAAGCAGGAGAGTAAATGTCAGCTCCTCCTTCAGGGGAATTATGTGACAGAGAATGTACATCTTTCAAAATTATAAACTATTTCAAGGATAGAAACATGTAAAGAGAATGATATAAAAGGCACTCTTGTACCTACCACCCAGTTTTGTCAAATCTTAACATTTTGTCAGAATAGTCCTAGATTTTTTTTTTTAATTAATAAAACATTACTGATGTAACCGGAGCCCCTTACTCCTGTTCCCGTTCTGTGCTTCCTAGGCTGATAACTATCTGGCATTTAGTGGGTAGCATTTCCCTGCATGTTTTCAAACATTTACTCCACATGTATGGATGTGACTGTAAGTAATGTATGATATCATTTCTCATGCCTTACATTTTATGTAAATATTACCGTGCTGCACGTAACTGCAACGTGTCTTTTTTTTCACACTATGTTTTTGAGATTATTTATATTGCTTCTTGTGGCTGTAGCTCATCAATTTTCATAGATATTTATAGTATTTCAGTAAAGGAATATATCACAATTTATGTTATCTACGTCTTCTGTTGATGGACATTTAGGATTTTTACTGTGAACATTATAAATCTCTGGGCACATATGGGAGAGCTTCTCTGTAGTGTGCACTTAGCATTGGGTGGTTGTCGAGTAAGTGCATCTTCCCTTTTTCATATGTTGCTAAACTGCTCTTTACAGTACTTGTACAAATTCTCATTAGCTACATACCTAAGTTCCTGTTTCCACACATTTTTGTCACTATGCGTGTAGTATTGCCAGACACTTTAATTTTGCCAATCTGGGAGGTGTAACACGGCATCTCATCCAGTTTTCACCTGTATCTTCATGATTATTAGTGAGGTCGATCATCTTTGTACATGTATATTGGCTGTTGGGCTTTCCTCTTCTGTGAATCATTTATTCACATTCTTGCCATGTTTCAGGTGAGCTGTTTTTCTTTTCCTTATTGATTTGCAGGCTTCTGTGCATATTCTGGATGTGAACCCTTTGTTAGCTACATGCAATGCACAGGTTTTCTCCCAACCTAGGTCATGTTTTTCACTTTGTGATGTTCTTTTTGTTAAATGAAAGTTTTAAATTTCAATATTTCATTATCAACTGTTTTTGTTATGAGTTTATTTTTGTGTCTTCTTCAAGAAAATCTATTTTACCTAAAGCCATAGGGATAGTTGCCTGTATGTTCTTATAAAAGTTTTCAAGCTTTGCCTTCCACATTTAGGTTGATTTTATTTTGCAGGAAGTGTGAGATGTGGATATAATTTAAATTTTTTTAGGGCTAACCATGCAAGATTTGCTGTTAAATTCTATTACATAATATACTTTCATATAAAAAATCTTTTTCTGGGCTATTGGTTAAAAACATTTGTCTTCTTGACTATACACATGGCAATACCACACTGCGTTCATTACTATATCTTAAGAAATTTTGGCATCTAGATAGAACAAGCCCCTTCCATCTTGTTCTCTTCCAAAATAGGCTTGTTTTTTCATATAAATTTTAGACCTGGCTTGTAAAATTCTACCAAAGGTCCTCCTCAAGTTTTAACTGGAAATTAATTTGATTAAAAGGTTAATTTGGTAAGACATGAAAGTAATGATATTGAATCATCACATCCATGAACATGCTACGGCTTCCACTGATTCCTTTTAATGCAGATTTATGGTTTTCTCTATAAATATATTACATGTTTTAAATTAGATTTTGTTCCCAGAATTTTAAAGTTTTTGTTGCCATTATAAATGGAATTTTTGTAAAACTGCATTTTCTAATTATTGGCTTTTGATGTATAGGAAAGCAGTTTACTTTTATGCGTGGATTACATAGCAAATAATTTTCTCAACATTAATTTGGTTATCTGTTTATCTGTTATAAAACACTCCTGGATGGTCTATGTGAGCAATCACATTGTCTGCAAGTAATGACAGATGTTCTTAATTTCAATCCTCATAAGTTTTAAAAAATCCTGCCTTTGTCCTTGCTAGAACCTCTGAGTACAGTACTTAAGACATTCTTATCTTATTCCTTCTAACATTTCACCTTTAAAATGTGTGCTGTAGTTTTGGGTTGATAACCCTTAATCTTTTTAGGGATGTTCACTTACATTCATAGTTTGATGAGTCTTTTCAAACTACAGATGAATGTTTAATGTTATCAAATACTTTTTCTGCATGAGGTGATGTGATCATATAATTTTTCTCTTTTAAACTGTGAATGTGATGAAGCACCTTAATTCATGTGATTTTACTTTTTAGTATGAACTACTTCAGATATACAAAAGGTATTAATAATACCTTGTTCCTACTGCTTAGCGTAAGTGAATGCCAATGTACCTACTACTTAGCTTAAGAAATAAAATATTAGACTCCCATTAAGCCCTCACCCCTGGATAGCCTCCCCTAAGTGAATTCCCCATTACCACTACCCTAAATTTAGTATTTATTTTTCCCATTTTTTTCCTTTTACTATTAATTTGTATATTTTCTAATGATAGATTATCCTTAAATTCCTGAAATAAATCCAGATAGGTCATGATACCACATATTATATTAGTGATCATATGGTCATAAGGCAAAGTTCCTAAAACAGAAATTAGCAGGCTGAATCCAATTTTTATTCTTCTTCCAATATTTGGTAAACAAAAAAACCCCATCAAGTTGATCTGTCTGTCTTTCCTTCTTTCCTTCCTTCCTTCTCTCCTTCCTTCCCTCCTTTCCTTTTTCTCTATTTCTCTCTCTCCTTTTGGTAGCTTTGTTATTATTGAGTCAATTTATGTATTAGTTGCAGATATATTCATGTTTTTCAGTTCTTTTTGCATTAGTTTCAGTGTTATGTTTTTCTAGGAAATTGTCCATTTTGTTTAAGTTTTCAAATTTATTGCCATTCAAGCACTTTGTTATTATTTTAAGATATCGACTGTACATACTTACTGTTAAGTCCTCTTTTCATTTTAAATATTATTGTATTGATACGGCCTTCTTTATTCGTTTCTTCATGAATCTTTCCAGAGATCTGTTCATCTTATTAATTATTAAAAATCAACTTCAGGTTTTGTTCTCTTTACTCTATCTTCACTTTCTCTTTTGTTTTCACTCATCTTTATACTTTTTAGTTTCTGTCTTTCTATTTTTTTGGATTTATTTTATTGTTCATTTTCTAGCTTCTTGGCTTGGGGGTTACCAGACTAAGGGAGCTATGAATATCTGAATTTCAAATCCATATGAGGCAGAGCCTTAGAATTTCAAATTTTGAGAAAAACTACATCTTGTCCTACTAGAGTCCAGGCGAGGCAGACAAGCTTGCCCAGCATCTTCCTATGCCCGTAGACACCCCTGGCATCTTCACACTTCTGCTGGTTTTATGTTGGAGAGTGGGGAGGATGTCTTAGATTCATCATCTACCTTCCAAGGTCCCAGGCTTTGACTTCTATACCTTTGTTACAACCCCCTTCACCCCTCTACTCCAGGACAACAGCAGCCTCAGCCTTGTTTCCAGGCCCTGGAGAATTCCCTTACTTCCTTCAACCTCAGATATGTATTTCAAAAGATGCTTGTTCTATTTTATGTATGTGGGTTACACATTATCTGTGCTACATCAATAGGACCAGATGTTACAAGCATGACACTGAGTATTTTGAAATATGTCAGTGCTCCAAGAATGTCATTTAAACTCAGGGATTAAGTGAGTTTTAGCTGTTTGCTTTTTTCAAAACATTCTTAGAATTATCGAGCTGTGCAGAATGAAAATCCTTAGACAGGAACTATGGGAGTCATTCATTTTTGCCCTCCTTCTACCAAATTAATATTGATGCCACGTTTTCCACTTCTACTAAAGCTTTCAAGGTGAAGTCTAATCAAATTATCTTCTGTCTTATTGAACAGAAACTGCGAAACTAAGCCAACTTTTCATGATTTTAAGATTATTACAGTCACATCTCCCATCAAATTACTGTAGGAACTTTGGGATGAGAGCCATCCTTAGAAGATTTTGGCCCACACTCAAGTCACCACAGACTCTGGCCTGTTTGCCATTCTTTTATCATCTTGTCTCTCTATGGTACCAATATTTGTAAAGAAAGCAAGTCAAATACTTGGTGATCCTGATCTTACAGGGCTGGCTCCATACTGTCCATTAAATTTTAAGCGTAAGATACAGGATATCCCATCCAGTTGTATTTTTGAGTGGTTTTGAGAATACTTTTCAATTGTCACTTGTGCTTCAGAAAAGCTCTGTACATAAAATAATGAACAGTAGTGTCAGTTTTTAGAAGCAATTATAAAGGAGATCGGAAAACCACACTTGTCAATTACTAGATTACTCTGCAGCAGGAAGACCTCAACACTTGTTCAATTATCAGCTATTAGCTTTTGACTTCTGGTTTCTCATTTCTTTAAATCTCTCACAGACCTACATCAAACACATGATAATGTTCGTCTTTCTTCATTCTTCAAGTTCCTTCAAAGAAAAGTCTCTCTAAGCCAAATTTGAAGGGAAAAAACCCTCCAATGTCTAATATGTTTATTTTCCTTCAATTATGAAGTAATTTTTGTCTTCAGGCTAGTAAGTCCATTCCTGTCTTTCTCAGTGTCACCAAGCTGCTGGCAGGGTAAGGACAGCAGAAAAACTCATCCTAGGAGTTCAATTCCACTTGATTCCAGCCTTTGAATTGTGTCCTTTTCCAGTGGGGGCACCATGTGATGCTGGGATCTGACCAGGGCCTGGACTGAACACGGATGCTGCCTCACCCAGCAGTTTCTCCAGAAGAGAATTCCACCAGAGGAGCTCAGGCTCCCTGAGGCAGGCAGGACTGACGAAACAGTCACCCCATTATTCCTGGGTCCTCCTTTTCCTCTACTCTTCAATGGCATAATTTCAACGGAGGAAGGGCAAACACTCAAGAGGAAGTAATTAATATGGGTAACAGTGAATTTGAGATCTTTGGAGGGTGGGGGGAATTTGAGAAATTTGTAAGTGAAGCACCGTTGGTACGATTTCCCATCTTTTTCATAATGCATGCCACCAAGCTTACACGAGCTTATTTTCCAGGGAAAATTTTTTTTTAAGTAGAATGATTTGAACTTGAGAGTTTTACAAAATCGAAATATTTTACTTCAACATTTTCATTGCTGGCATGAGTTAATCCTTTGTTGCATTTTATTTGTAGAAGACTAAATAGAGAAAAGAAAAAAATCTGCATTTATGACGAGTAGCTGAATCATGTAACTTGCAAATATTCTTCCTTGAAAACAAGCACATTGATAAAGAAGGAATCATTGTTATAAAACTAGAAGCTTGGCCATTTTTCCAAGCCAATTATTGATTTTCAAGCCAATTATTAATTTTTTTTCAAATCTCTAGAATAAGTCACCAAACAGTTATGTAAAATATGGTTCTACTCAATAACCATTAGGACTTCTTTTTCTCTATAAGCTTTTATAAAAGATAATCTATTATTATTGTCTCTAGAAAGCTAAACTGATTTTCTGAAAGGCTACGACCTGCATATAAATGTAACTGTGTCTGGTTCTACTGTCTGTGTCCTTAGGACTCACTGTGCATCTAACTGAGGGAATGATGGGTGACTGTAGATAAGAGCAGGGGCTCTGGAGTCAGACTGTCTGTGTCTGAATCCTGGCTCTGCTACTTCTGACACTATGACCCAGCTCAAGTTACTGAGATTCTCTGCCTCAGTTTTGTCATCTGTAAAGTGGAGATAGAGATGGCATCTACATATGAGGTCGTTGTGAGAATTAAATGAGTTAACATGTTTGCAGTATTTAGAAGATTGCCTGGCTGGAAGAGTGAATGCCCCACAAGCTTTATTTCATCTTTGATATACTTCGATTTTTTTTTAACATAGTCAGTTAAAAGTTGCTTACCAATCTGGGATCGATTTCTTCATTAAGAACAGCTTCATTCCTTATGAGTGCCACTCGTTGTGCAAATCTGCAGGTAGATATAGACTCCTAAGGAAACAAGGTAAGTCCTTAAAATGTTATGACATAGAGAGATAAAACTTTATTTTTGTTCACAGGAAAAACATGTACACCTAACGAGTGATGTGCATAAAACACAATGAGAAAACATGCTTTCAAATTAGGGAGCTTTGCTCTGGAACATTATTTTGCATTAAAATTTTGTTTGGGCTTAATAAAATGAGTAATACCCCAAGTATGGGAGATCCTGAGGTCCTAAATGACCATTGGTATATGCTTGTCAACTACTGATCTGTCAAACCAGAACCAAATAGACAAACCATAATCATAGCAGATACCATAATCCATAAATATGAAAGGGTACAAAATAAATATTAGTAATGGCCAAAAAGAGAGGCTTTTCAAGGCATCTTATGATGCTCCTGGGGCTTGGCCTTGTTTTGGGAGGTGGCCTACCACTTCCTGTTTTCTTCTCTTAGAGAAAGTCTGAATCCCAAATGTTAAGCTGAAATGCCTGAAACATCAGCTGACTCTAAAGCATTCCAGGAAAGCCATCTGGTAGCCAGCCCCTGACAAGCATCCTGGGTGAGGTGCCTAGGGACACGTCTCGGGACACATCTTGGAGATGTGTCCAAGGCATCTAAGCAATCAGGAGCAAAACAGATCAGGAGAAGCTGGTGGGTCTCCTCTCTCATGCCTCTGGCTGAGGTAAATAATCCATCAGCAGGTCTTCCGAAATTTGTGTATAAGGTTTTCTTCAAACCAGGCTGTGCTATGTGAAGTCAGTTCTCAAATGGGGTAATAATAATGCTGGCAAATTATCTGAACTCTGAACCACTGAAGGCACACCCTAACCCAGCTGAGTAGATGGAAACCCACCCAGGACCCTTGATTCCATCTCACAAACTAGCAATAAAAACTCAGACTGAGAGCTCCAGAAAGAAGGACCAACATACATCGATATTCCTTTTCTCTAAAGAGAGTGTTGCAATCATGGTTGTCATGCAGTTCCCTCCCAGACTATCTCTCAGGACACTGGTCATCATGGAGTTCCTGTACGGAATATGTGAACGGTGTTTTTCTGAAAGGGCAACGATAACCTGTGGGGGAGGAGGAAAAAAAGAGCTTTCACTTAGCAGAAAATGCACATCTGACAACTGAGCTGTGCCTGCAATAAAAATACAAAATGCAGTGACCCCCCCCAAACCTTGGGCTCAGAATACATATATTCATAATATTCAGTATAAAAATGGTGAATATGGAATGAAGCAAATGTAGCAAAAACATACTATGATGAACTCTGTAATTTTTGGATAGATGATATAACTTGTACAGAATTGGATACAGTATTATTATGTTTTCAGTCACTGGGAAATTTGTATAAAAACTCGAGAGTAAATCATGCCAGATTTAAAAAATCCTACCAAAATTGGTCTGTATGCCTCATCTTCAAGGTAAAAGAGGCAGAATAGTAAATAAGAACTACAAGAAGCAACAGGGGTAAGAGGTGGAGACCCCGGATTCTGGTGCCAGGTTGTCCAGGTCCAGATTCTAGCCTTACCAGGGCATGCCACTCAACATTTCTGCCTCATTCTCCTCATCTGTAAAGCAGGGAAGAGACAGTATCTACATGTCAGTAGTTGGGATAATTAGAAGAGTTAAAATGTGCAAATTACTTTGAGTAGTAGCAGTGTTTAAGCAGTGTCTTAGGTACTTAATAGGAAGGCAGTAGATGGATGGGTGGGAAGATGGATGAAAGGCTGCTATGGGCTGTCCCCAAAGGGAGCCACCGGGGGTCCAGGGCTTTCTGGGGAGGATGAATCCAGTGCTTAGATGCCTATTGCAAAGCATCAGGAATAGATCACCCACAGATGTGACACGTGACTTCAGGCTCCTTGCTTTTCCTTTTGTCCTCTCATGGTCTCCTCTCTGCACAGCAGCCAGAGGAATCTTTATAAAATGTTTGTTACACCAAGTCACTGCTTACAACCTTCCCAATGCACTTAGATAATGACCCAATCCCCGCGTGACCTGGTTCCTGTCTACCTATCTCGCTGCACCTCCCATGGAGCTCTCGTGGTCCACACTGGCCTTGCTGTTGCTTTCCCACACCAAGTGTAGCCCCACGTCACAGCCTTTGAACCTGTTACTTTTTACCTGGGATACTCTTGCCCCAGATTTTCTTACAGCTTCCTGCCTCTCATCAATCAAATCTTTGTCCAAGTTTTATTTCCTCACAAGGGCTTTCCCTAAATCCTGTATCAAATTTAACACCCTGAAATCCAGGCTTTTGCTCTGTTTTATTTTTCTTCTGATACTTACCACTATTTGAAATTTTATTTATTTACTTGCTTGTTATCTGCCTCCCCACTAGACTTTCTGCTCCACAAGGCAGAAACAAAGGACTTTGTTTCTCTTATTCATGGCTCTATCCCCACTGCCAAGAATAGTGCCCCGCACCCAGTACGTGTGGTGGAAACTAAGTGTCTCTCTCAGCTCTTGTGACAGCCCCCATTCTAGTTCTGCTTCCTACGAAGTTACACTTCCCAGTCTCTCTCACAGCTCACAGTTTGTGTGAGACCTGGCTCCATCAGGCAGACACCCCTGTGTGGGGTCTGGAGGGGAGTAATGAGAGGTGGTAGTCACAAGAAGGGAGTCCAGATTTGTAGGAGAGTGTGGTGGCAAAGGCATCAAGTTCTTTTGAGGCAGCTTAAGGGAAGTTTCTGGAATCTAGGACCTAATGTTCTAAGTGCCAAGTGGGGATAACAGTAGCCTTTTACAGAGCGGTTCAGTGGTGTGGTTAGAAGTGTCTCTCAGTTGCTCTCCTCTGAGCTGTGCAGTATCCAAGCCCAGTTTTCTAATTTTTCTTGAGATTCTTTACGTTTAATAAGCTCTATGTGGCTTAAATTAGCTAGAGTGACTTTCCCAGTCTGCAACTGAGAAATCTGGCTAACACAACATATGTTCAACACTTTTTTCGACTGTGAAGGAATGAATGAGTGGATTAATTAGTTTTACCTGGGAAAGCAGTGTGAGGGCCTTAGTATTGAATGGCATTTGGGACAACTAGGTTTCAATGTAATTGGAAAGAAAGTGAGGAATATGGTGGACCCAAGTGTGAGTGGCAAGGTGGTAGCATGGGGTACTGAGCAGAGGTCCAGGTCCTAAGAGCCAAGAGGACAGATATCTGAGACAGGCAAGAAAGGCCCAAATACCAGACACCAGACCAAACACGGGTTGGTCTGATAGATATGCAGAGAGAGTGGCATTATTGTTTATCAATCACCAACACTTTTCTAATGTCACTATTTTTTTTCCTGCTGTAGGAAATAATATTGATGTCTTTTCTAATCAACAGTTTTATTGACAACTTAGATGATACAAAGGAGACTATACTTGTTAAACTTCCCTTTGGTATTAAATTAAATGGTGTGTTTGTTAATTTGCTTTTGGTTGTAGTAACAGAAACATTTAACTCAAACTGGCTTTAAACATAGGGAAATGTACTGGCTTATGTTAAGTATAATAGGAAATGCTTTAGGTTAGAACTGACCCAAAGGTCAGGGACCTTTTAGCCAAGGTCTTGGTTTTTGCCAGTTTCTCTGCTCTATCTTCCAGGTGGTAGAAGTCTGCCTCTCCTTGGGGCCATAGAATGCCTACAAAATGCCCTGATGTTACATACTTCCATCCTCAAAACTGACGTGAGGAAGCTCTCTAATCCTTAAATGTGAGTCCTGAGCTTCACTAGGGACCAGCTTGGGTCATGGGCCATTGCTGAATCAATTACTATATCCTGGAGAAAGACTGGCTCGAATCGGCTTAGACCAGTAAGGGTGTCCTTCTGGAGCTGGGATGAGCTTCTGGCTGCTACCCCAGAAATAAATGCTGTAGAGGCAATCCTAATGTCCATTCCAGAAAGGGTTATAAAATTGTTAAAGAGAATAATAAAAATTTCAAATGAGATTATGGATTAGAAAATATAGTCTTTAAAAATGGGGGAAATGAAGGCAGTGAATGAAAAAAGAAAGAATCCAGGACTTAAAGTCAGAATCTAGCTGTCCCACTTATATGATCATAGGCAAAACCCTTATTACCCTCAGTTTCTCCACCTGTAAAAGTGGAATTAGAATGCTTGCCTATCTCACAGAAATGATTTAAAGATCATTAGATGGACTATTACTCAGCCATAAAAAAGAATGAAATAATGCCATTTGCAGCAACGTGGATGGACCTAGAGATTATCATACTAGGTAAAGTAAGTCAGACAGAGAAAGACAAATATTATATGATATCATTTATATGTAGAATCTAAAAAAAAAGACAAACAGAAACAGATGCCCAGACATGGAAAACAAACTTCTGGTACCAGTGGGGAAAGGGATGGGGAGGGATAAATTGGGAGTATGGGATTAACAGATGCACACCACTATATACAAAACTGACCCCTGGGACAGATACAGATCTTCATAGTGACCCAGAAACGGCCACTATTTGAGAGAGAGGCAGCAGTAGATTATTTTTGGTGAGGCTGCTTTGTGTTCTCTAAATTGGGCAGAAACCAAATGACCTGAATGGCACGGGGTAAGGAGGTGTTCAAACAACCTGGATTTTTTTTTAACATTTACTTCCATTTTGGATTTCATGCATAAATGCAGTAACATGTTCCAGAAGGCATTCTTTAAGCAACACAGAGTGGAACCTCACATTACACTTAATGATATTTCCAAGTACCTAGAAACTACGCCTGAAATCAATAATTCAGCTTGCTATTTACTGAACTAAGGAGAATTTCTTTTAAAGAGCTCAGAAGGCCATGGAAGATCATCCCCTGAAAATGGACAAAGATCTGAGTGTTACAATTATCACCAGCACCATTAGCTTTTCCTCTTGAACACAGCACATCCAGTGGAAGCCAAGTGTTACATGACGTTCTGAAAAAAGCCCCTCTCATATTGGATAACTGGCTGAAGGTGACCCAGGTTCTGATTTCTGAAGAAGCAGAGAGCAAACATTCTGTTTCCAGTGGTTTCTCACTTGGTGTTTGGACTGACGGACCCAGGGTCACACGAGGAGCACTTGGTGAGGCTTATAGTCAGGACAAGTATGCATGGCCCTTTCCTTTTTCTCCATAGACTGGATTTCTAGGGCCAAGATGTACCCTGTTATTGTGGCTTAAAATGTTTTCGAGGAGACTTTTTGGAAAAAGTACTGCATACACAAGGAAAACTCCAAAACCAACAGTACTCTGGCAGACAGAAATTTATTTACTTATGAGCACAATAAGGTGCATTTAACTCAAAAAGGCTGTACCCTGCAAGCAGGTGTAAGGCCTGACAATTATGGCCAGAAGGGCAGTTGCAGTTCTGCATGAAATTCCTATGAGCCATGTGGGCTAGTTAACGTAAGAGAGGTGACCAAACTGTCTTTTTCCTGGCCCATCTCCATTTATATATTGAAACTGACACAGAGACGATATAATCAATCACTGATATCTGTCTGCATTTTTGTTACGGCATTGATCTTACTCATTGGGAGTATTTGTTTCCATGCTTTGCTCTTTCACTGATGAAGTGGTTGCACGGATTATTTCTCAGTCATACTCTAGCCCCATTGCCTAATATAGCTCGTAGCACCCGGTGGATGCTCAATCACTGTCTGTTGAATGAATGAGTGAATAAGTGAATGAAGCTAATTAAACTAAACTGTGTTATACTTCCAGTCTCATTAGCCTCATAAAAAAGCACTTCATGATGAAAATTTGTTTGTAGAAGTCCCTGAATTCTGTTATTTCATCAACAGTATCTACCCAGTCTTTTTAGTATTCTCATTCCTATGACCTCTTTGGTTCCCTCTCACTTATCTCTTTCCGTGTAGAATTCCAAAATTTCTCAACCATCCACCTACTTTCTGTCGAGCAGCAGCTCCTAGATTTACTCAGCCCCACACATTCATGTCCACACCCCCACACATTCATGTCCACACACTGCGGTCTTCCATATTGATGTTCGTCTTTGCTTTCACACTAATCTTCTTCTCCTCCTTTCTCCATTATTCTATGCCATAACCTCAATGCAGACCCTGGTATATCAGTGCAAATAGCTAACAGCTGCAGTGATGCAGTGGTGGCCTATGAAACAGATAAGTTACATTCGGAGAGCCAAAGGTCAACAACATGTGAATGCCACTATGACCCTGGGTATATCAATCCCCCAGACTGGAGCTACAGGCTGACAGACTTCCAGTCCCCACTGCCTGGCATGCTCCAACCCCATTCTGGCCAGGCTCACTCCTACTCATTCCTCAGGTCTCTGCTTAATATCAGCCCTGAGAGAACTTTCATTAACTCTCCCGTCCTCTGACTAAGTCCAATCCCCCATGACAAGCTCTCCTCACCCCTTGGACTTGCTCTGCACAGCTCTCATCGGGATTACAGCCACATACTTCACGATTACTTATTCAATGCCTCCCTACCCTGGACATGAGACCTTCGGGGCAAGGACTGTTTCTGCTTTGTTCAGCACTATGCTCCAGTGCCTAGCCCAGGTCTCAGCATGTAACTGTTCCTTCTAAGTATTTGTTAAATAAATAAACTAGCTATATAAAAAATCAAATGCCACATAGCCACTGAGACTCACATGAGGCTAATGTTACAAGAATTTTGAAGAGAAGTAATGTAAGGAGAGGAATAGTTTTAATGATAAGCAATGGCTTGAAAAGGTTGCATAGAATGAAAAAACACAAAGGATTAGGAGCAGAATGTTTTTCTTGAGTGATTTTAATTGGTGGAAATTTTGATTCAACTAACAAATATGAATATAATTTTGTATGAATGGATGGACATAATGGGAATTAAAAGACAGTGCTACCATCTGAAACAAGTAGTTACATTTTGAAATAAAGCACTTTGAATAGAGTCCATTATACTTTCATATCAATGTTATATAAATGTCCTATTAAGTAAAAAGATCTGTTAAGTAAAAATGGTGTGTAATATTTGAGCAAGAAAGAGCTCAGGAAGGGTGAGTATTATCAGAAGTGCTAAAATGATCCAAACATCATGAACATAAAATGATCTTAAATCTCTGGTTGCTGCATTACTGGGATTCATTTGGTCAGAGCCTAACTGTGTGTGCCTTGTTCACATGGATTTCCCTTAGGTTTCTCCCAATATGCTTTTTCAGCCAACTTGACCATTAGAAAGCATTTAACATCAGGACAGCGTCATTTGCAAAGGGGTTCATTAGGCAGCTGAAAAAAAAAAAGTTTTTTGTTTTTCTCAGACCTTTCAGTCTCCACCTTCTGCCTCGCCAATATCCTCTGTACTCCTCCACTCCAGTTTCTGGTCATGTTTCTCTCTCTCTCTCTTTTTAAGAATTTGGAAGTAGTTGCTATCTTTAACATTCAACTCACAGCACTTATACTCACAGAGCTGAAAGAAACTTAAGAAACCATCTAATTCAATCCACTCATTTTAGAGATGAGAATTATTTTCTTCTGGAAGATTTATTTAGCAAAATTCAGATGAGTGTTCTCTGTCCTTGGAGTAAAATTTGGAAATTAAAAATTGAGCTTATACTGGGGTGGACTGTGATAAACTTGAGGTTGGGACAGGGAGGGGAAATTAAAGAAAAGAGAACCACTGCAGGGAACAGAATCACCAACTACATAAAGTCACTACCAGCGGAGAAGATACTGGTCATCTTCACATGTTCTCATAGCTAATCTACCAGACTGAAAAAAATAGGCCATGGAGGCCATTTTTAATCTATAGTCATACCCATTACTAATTTTATAATAAAAACAATAAGGCACAGTGAAAAAAAAGCACGGGCTTTGGAGCCAAGCAATTCCAGGTTCAAAGCCTCATCTCCCTACTAGCTGTGTAAACTTGGGAAGCCTGGGGAACACCTGACTTATAAAAACTGTAAGATGGGGGTAATGTCTAATACCTACAGTGCAGAGCTGTTGTGAGCTTTAAACGAAATGGTTTATACAAAATAAACACCAGTGTTTATAGCAGCATTATTCACAATAGCCAAAAGGTGGGAACAACCGTGTCCATGGACAGATGAATCGATACACAAACTATCATATATTTATAGCATATCTATACACACACAAGGGGATGTTATTCAGCCTCAAAAAGGAAGGAAATTCTGATACAGGCTAAAACATGGGTGGAATTATGCTAAATGAAATAAATCAAACACAAAAGCATAAATATTGTATAATTCCACTTATTTGCATATCTAGAATAGGCAAATTCACAGAGACAGGAAGTAGAACAGAGGCTGTCGGGGGCTGGGAGTATAAAGAGATGGGAAGTTATTTAACGGGCACAGAGTTTCTGTCTGGGGTTATGAGAAGCTCTGGAAATGGATGGTGGTGATGATTGTACAACATTTTGAAGATACTTAATGTGACTGAATTGTACACTTAAAAATCAGTGAAATGGTAAATTTTATGTCATATGTAGTTTGCCACAATAAAAGAAGTGAAACAGAACCAAAAAAAATCCCAACAGTGCTAGTAGAATGCCTGATGTGAAGTACGCGGTCAAAAACTGGCCGGTAGAGATACATCCCACTCCACCCGCTTACCTGTTCTAAGTAATGCAGTGACAAGTTGATGTACTTGGCCTCTGTTAGAAGCTGGCCCCCTACTCCTGTCTTCGCAACTCGTTCTGAACCAGCCAAGTCAACCAAATGAAGTTTGGCACGTCGGACAGTTGCAGATCCTGGCTCCTTGCTTGATAAGTGAATGGTGAAAATGCAGTGGGAACGGGTTGAAGCTTGGTTCATAGGAGTCTATGCAAAATACATTGTAAAACAAAAGTAATGTGAACAATGAGAATTTTTCAAGGATATCAAGAGACTTAAATTTACATTTCCAGTGATAAGACATTTCCTAGGAAGCAAACACTGTCCAGTGGAGTAAAAACACTTGTAGCTGAGACCCTTCATGTGAATTATTTTCAATGCATTACCTCTTGAATGACTGATGACCAATGTGAGTGGGTTCATTCCGAAAGTGAGAAAAGAGTTTGAATTAGGTGAATCTTGAGTCTTCTTAACCAATATATATCTTTATTTCATTACCTGACCACAATCTATCACATTGGCTAGCCATATTGAAAATGTTCTATGTGAATTTCATGGTAAAAGAGGTGAGAATGGGTGCATAGAGAGAATTCGTTACACATTTGTACACACAATCCACAGACAAGTATATCCAATATCACTGCGATTACCCAACACTGAACTGGGGGTCCTGGCCAACGTAATAAATAAGAAAAAATACAAGGCACAGTGGCAGGAAAAGAAGAAATCAAAGTGTCATTATATACAGAAAGTATTGTGGTTTACATAGAAAATGCAAGATCATCTATGAACAAACTGTTAAGGACTAAAAAGATTAGCAGAGTTGCAAGATCAATATGAGAAATCAATAACATTCTAATAACCCAGCAACAATTAATTAGGAAATACAATATTATTCATAATAGCAACAAAGATGATGAGATAATAAGAGATTAATCTTATAAAAGATGCACAATTTTCAGGGAAACGATAAAATAATATTTTATTATTACAAAATATTGAATACAAAATGAAAACCTGAATAAGTGGTGTGCCAGATATTAATACACCATTTTTGGATGGGAAAATTCAAAATTAATTTCTATATTAATCTCTCTTTATAAAACTATCTATTCAGTACAACGGAAATAAAAATGCCACTGGTTTTGTTTGCAGAACAAAACAAATGAATTCTAAACATCAGATGGAAGAGCAAATATCAAAAAATAACCAAAAACAATTCTGTGAAAAAATCGTAAGGAAAGGGGTCTTGTCCTGCTTTATGTCAAGGAATAATCATAATGCCACAGTAATTAAAACAGTGTGGTACTGGTGCAGGAGAAGATAACTAGGTCAGTGAAACACACTGTGCTCATTTAAGGAACTCTGTATAGGGAACGGGTGATGTCACACCACAGTGGAGAAAGGATGGACTCGTTAACAAACAGTGTAGGAATAACGGGCTAGCCATCTTGAAAAAATAAATTTAGACTGCTTTGTCACACTATATACACAAATTAATTCCAGAATGCACTAAAGACTTGTGTATAAAATAACACAGATTTAACATTAGTAAAAGAAAATACGGAAGCATACCATAATCAACCCAAGGTGGTAATAATCTATGATAAGACATAAAATACAAAAATGAATTGATTTGAAATATTTGACCAAATAATCCAAAATTAAAGAACTTCTGTGTGATGACATAAGTTGAAAGACTGGGAGATGACATTTGCAATACACTTGGCTGACAAAAGATTCATATTTGAAATAAAGTATTTCCACAAATCAGTAAGACAAAGACAAACAACTCAGAAAATAATGAGCAAAGGATGTGAACAGACAACCCATAAAGAGGAAACCTGAAAATGGTCAATAAGTCTCTGAAAATGGTTAGTTAGTCTTTGGAAGAAAATGCTCAAACTTACAAATAATCAAGACAAATAATTAGAACCCAACAATAAACTATTTCATTCACCTCTATCAGACTTGCAAAAATTTTAAAAACAAACTCTAGCAACACAAGTGTTTGTAAGGATATAAGGAAGTAGGAACTTTTATATACTGCTGGTGGGAATGCAAACCAAGACTCTTTTTTGAGCGAAATGCCTATGACCCACAAGCCAGCAAAAGACTGAACACTAGGTATATTTCCTAGAGAGAAACCTGGGACAGGTGCATTACGGGAGAAACAGAGACAGACAGACAGATGGATGGACATTGACTGCAACATTGCTTGGGACAGCAAGAAACTGGTGCAAGTGTACAACCTAAGTGGACACCTGCGGTTGAAAAGATGAATAAACTGGGATAACAAACTACAGAAAATTAAAATGAAACAAGTTTTATATAGATTGATATAGATTTCTAAAATAGAATACTGAGAAAAGCAGCATGTTAAAGAATGATATAAACACAATGATAGAACTTAGATAATTTAAAAAGCAATATTATCTAAAAATATTAGATCATGGTGCTGTAACTTAGGACATTAAAAGTGTAAGAAATGGACTGGAGGGCATAGCAAATTAACGATAGTGATTGCCTTCGTGAGGATGGACGTGAAAGGCCAACAAGGAGATTTCAGCTTTATCTCGAATATCCTATTTCTTTTATTTAAAATTTATTAGAAGTAAATGGATATCAGATATCTAAAATATACATAAAATAAAAAAATATCGAAAATATTCCCAAGGAGTGTTAATATGAGTAAACGTGTTCAGATCTCCACCTCTGCAAAACAGGATTTAACGAAAGAATTTCCAAATGGATACACGTGTATTCAGATAGAGTAACATACATGGATGCTGTTTCAACCAGAAATTCTTTCTGTAAATACAAATTCTTGATATACACCATGGTGACTTACACCAGCTAGCAAAATACATAGATGTCAAAATACTGGCATAGTTTTGGTGATGATGATGTAGCTAGTGAGTTAAATAGGCTGAAAATTTGACCCATTACTCGTTGCCACAATAACTATACCCAAACCTAGCCAGTGTGTGATTTTGCATGCTAAAGTGGATCGGCAAATAACCGTGCATGTAAAACCGCAAACTCAAATTTAGAACCTAAGTTGAGGTGTTTTGGAAGTGACTGTAAGTTATTTGCAGAACTTAAACATGGGTTTTGTTTCACTGTTATATTCGCACAATAATAAATCCTACAGTACTGTAACAAAAGTCAAATGACAATGGATATAAGTGAATAACAGACTATCCGCCACAGCTGTCTTCAGCTTCTAAATTGATACACTGAAATCACAGTAAAATGTGGGCCATTAGCAACTATTGGAAGAACGAATCCATTTCAAAGGGTATATCAAATTAAATTGTATTTCTGGAGTCTGTAATTAAAATGCAGTAATATGTATAGGAGTCCATGTCTACAATTTTGTAACTTCTCATAAATATTTTCTGTGTGAAGCAGTAGTTGGTATCCTCTTAGCTAAAATTTTCTTAAACCTCAGAAAATATTCTTTGTGTGTAGCTGTTTAAGTGTGATTGAGTGTGCTGGTGTCTGCTCTGTGTTTATTTAAAGACGTCTTCATGTCTCATAGGCATGTCCCTGCATTTGTCCTTTTAAAGGTAAAATTGTATTAAAACGTTTCTGAAACTGCCTAAGAACAGATGGCACCATTTAGGCAGATTCATTCAAATTTAAGCGCACATTTTAAACAAATGTGCTCTTGGCACCAGAGACAGTGCCTTTGGAAAAATTCTAGTGATGATTAATCATCCACATGCAGACAGCTTTCACATTTCATATTGGTCTGTGTACACAGTCCTGTGTTAGGCAGTATGGAGATGAGAAGGAAAAGAAGGCATGGACCTTGCCCTAAAGGCATTTCATAATCTAGTTCAGGAGCTAATGACAAAATGTGTGACAGGAGAGTGTACAATGAGAAAAAGGCTTATGTGCAGGAAAGACAGTGATCTGTCCTCAGCACTGAGCACCCTGACCTATTAGGTAAAACCTGAAAGTGCTAACCATTCCCTTGTTCGGGAAGCTCTCCACCCTCTTCCTACTCCCAGGTTTCTAGAGTCCCTCTCCTGGTACCTTCTCTCTGCTTGCTGTCTCCTGTTCCTTTATTGGACACTTTTCTTTCTGGCTCCTAAAATAGGAATGTCCCAAGCTAAGGTCATCATATTTCTTCCTCTTGGGGAACTCTTCTCTCGTTCTGATTCTCACTGGATTGGCACTGTACTGTAGTTAAAAATCACACCCCCAAAATCTTAGAATTTGGTATCAAATGACCTGATTTCAAGCCCTGCTTCCATCACTTGCTACTGTTGAAATCTTAAGCAATTTTACATAAAGTAATTTTGGGTTTTTGTGCCTTTGAAATGCCATAACAAGGCTTGCTTTGCTGCAAAGAGTCATACTAATTTCCAGCTTAAGTGCTGAAATGGTGCATGAATTATAAAAGTTCATAAAAATGTTCACTCTGTTCAGACACCTCCCGTATCCTTATTTCCAACCGCAATCTCTCTGTACCCCAGATTAGACTGTCCAAGAGCTGGATTGATAATTGTCACAAAAATGTCTTGTCAGCATCATTAAGTTCAATGTTACCCAAAACAACCTTATCACTTTCCCTCACTCTGTGTCTCACAGATGGATACCAATCCATCCTATTCCTGTTACATTTACCCCTGTGTCTCTCCATCTCCAAATATCCTTTACCTCTCACTTACCTTACCTGTCACTACATTCTACATTCTTTCCTGATTAGTCTCCTCGTATTAACTCGTCTTCTCCAACTGTTCTCCACCTTGCCAACAGAGTAACACTTTAAAAACACATATTTGATTATGTCAGTCCTACCCATATCCCTGAATTAAACTGGCATGCTCCCTAAGACTAAATATCCCTAGTTCCTTCACTTATGTCTTAATACAATTTTTTTACCAAACTCTTCTTTAAATAGGGCACTCTGACACTGAACTGAATCTATTCTTTTGAATGTAGCCTAACCACAGCAGTGGAAACTGAGTTCTGAGCATTCAAATCTAGTGCTGCCAGGAAACAGCACACAAAGGGTTAAACCATATTTGTTCCAGCCTTTGGCCCATGTTATGGAAATTCTTTGGGAAACATACGCACTTATTTATTTGATGACTGCATTTTAGTAGTTTTTATCCCAACATGACTCTGTTGAGATAATTCTGGATTTTGATTTTTTTTTTTGCAATTTCTTGCTATCTAAGAAAGAAAGTATC